TTTTCGTTCGACTTAAGTCCCTTAAGAGACCCGTCGAGAGGTGTCCGTCTTCGGGCCAAGTCGAAGTTAATTAAAAACAACCAAACAACAACAACCCCAAAAAAAATGTATAAAATTGTACAACAACAACCACCCACCCCACACTAAAAGATTTGGAATGTCCCCATGTCAAAGAATTTAAAGCAGAGTAAGGTAAGGGGACTTCCCTAGTGCTCAGTCCTGATCAGAGACGGTGCTAGGATCAAGGTGACACGCTCGTCCTAGCGCCCGGAGCCAGCCCATGATCTTTTTCTCTAACCTAGCATTTTGTGTATCCAAGTTAACAACTCTAGTACTCAGGTCAGTGACCGAAGTGCGTAAGCCAGCCATTTCTTGCTCTAGGTCTATCATACGGGGTACTCCGGTAAGCCTATGAAGGGCCTGCCTCATCAGCACTCTGCTCTGGTGGGGCGGCAGCATGCATAGTTCCCTCATCATCATCATCGGTATCATCATCAGCATCAACCACCACAGCCGGCTCTTTCCCAACTGAGATTTTGCTAGCTCTGAATGGGGCTTTCAATGGCAACTTCCCATCTACTATGCGATTTTTAGGAACCCGTGAAACACGACATAACTTGGTGACCAGGGATGGGAAGTAGAACCCTTTGAGTATTTCCGGGGTTCGAATGAACATCTCTTCTTGAATGAGTCGGGACACATTAAAATCGTGTTGGCTCATGAAACAATAAACCGCCGCAGCTCTTGGTCCATTAACATCTGTGGTGTTGCTGGACGACAGCAAACAGCTGTTGATGATCGTCAGCCAACACTTAGCTTCCCAATTGAGAGATTGAGAGTTTAGGGTAATTCTCTGCTTTATCCATATTGTATCCCGATTAGCCATACAGATTGTTTCAATAATTGGTTGCCACGAGACAATTGGGTGTTGATAATCTCGGTATTAATCTGTCTCTCCAGTGAACACCGGCAACCTGTACACTTGACGGATAGCCTCAAGATATGCATCCACCGAGGTCTTGCGTACCGTGACAACCCTCTCAACATGTTCTGAGCAATTTGCATAGAATTCCCGTACAAGCAGCACATTGCCCTCCTCCGGTTCATCAAAGAAGATGTCCAGATGACGCCTCCTCAATTCTTCAAAGATACGTGGGCATTCAACTTGCAAGGCATGCTTGTCAATGTGTACTTCTGGCAATAGCTTTTTGGATGCCTTTGTATTAAACTTATCTTGAGCTGTTTTAGAAACAAACCGAGAGCGGTCAAACTGGTCCGCACTAGCCTGACCTTGAGCTCTGGATGACCCTCCGGGTCCACTAGCGGAGGAACTTGTGGCATATCTCTTTCTTGACTGGTGCATTGTACCTGACAAATCAGATGCTACTATTAGAGAGGGTTTGAGTTGTGTGAACCCTAGGTGGTTACTCAGACTTCACCACCACCATGGTCACATTAGCCATTACAGCTCCATTGGGGCAATTTCACAAACACCTTGTGAGAATGGTCTATAATTTAACACACCTATCCCATGGAAGCATAAATTCTCCCCTCACATCAACCATTCTCAATTCAAAATTCCACTCCACCACACTTAACTTTACACAATAATACCAAACTCGTCTCTACAATATTTTACACATTACCCACTAAAAAGAAGAAAAGAAAATCAAAAAACTAACTATAACTACGACAACAATTAAAGGATTAAACTTGCAAAATAGAAAAGTACAAGAAGAGAGATGGAAAGCTTGACATACCTGGTTCTTGTAGAAGGTGAGAGTAATAGATGTTGGGGAAGAGAGATTTGGAAGTGTGTGGGGGGGGG